AAAACGTACATATTATTTTTAGAAATTACAATAGTGAAAAAACACGAAAACGCATAAGTGCATTAAGTGTTTAATTTTAGCTATGCGTCCGGCGACAAATTCTTTGATTTTGTTCTCACTGATGTTTTACAATGAATACAAAACTCCGTTCTATATATCCATTTAGTGCTGTATTCAGCTGTCTAACTATGTGATATTTAAAGTTAAATTATGAAGAATTTATTTCCAGATTATTTTTTATATGTTTTGCATAATAGTTATTTTAAACGCTGCTATATAATTTGGATGTGTTTTGTATGTTGCAGATGATACATGTTACTTGTGGACAATTCCGCTGTTGCGCATCGTACCGGTGAGTTAATGAAATATATTTTATTCCACTATCATTAAGAGAATAGATTTGAAAGTAGTGCAAAATACAAGGCTAACCGTATCATTATCGTTAATTCCTGAGGATTCTTGTGTGATAAGAATATAAAAATCAATATGCGATGTGTCTAAGTGCGTGAATTTTTGATAATTTGATAATCGGGTAATGCTTGATTGTTAGTGTCTGAGATACTTTGTATATATTACATTAGTATCAATTGCTTTTAGATAAAAGCATTTCAGATAATAATTAAAGATTTTTTAATTGATTAACAATACTTTAAGTTAAGTTCAATATTTCGTTATAAATGATAATTTTATATAATACTAGAACAATAAAAGCGCGCGCTACGCGCGCGCACTTATTATAGTACTTTAATAATTAAGAAATCTAAATATTTTAATAAATTTTTTTATTTTAAATAACCGCCAAAATAACCTTCGCTCTCAAAGTATCAAACTGTCAGAATAATCGCGATAACCAATCAGCGTCGCGGAAAAACGTCAACAATACTTTCGATACATTCGAGTATCGATCTTTCATGCCTTTTTTAAGAGTGGAACTAATATACTATTTCTCAAAATGCATAAGAACAACGAACTTAAATTTATGACTTAATTTTATGATTTAAATTTATGACTTAATACATTAATACTTGAGAAAAAAAAGTAACGTGGAATTACAAATACTTTTTGAAGCAAGAAAAATACTTTGAAAACAATTTGAGCAAATATACACATCTGGAGAAATCTATTACAAATTTTTAAGCTTTCTTCAAAGAATTTTTTTAAACAAAGATTTCGGAATACTTTTAAAAATTTGTATACAGGGTGTCCCATTTTAAAAAACAGAAACACATAGTTGCTTTCAAGAAAAAATATGTAATTTGCAACATGCAACTGCATACTTTTTTTTTAAACCAATGTGTTTTCTTTATACCAATTCATTTGTCTCATTATTTTGGGCATAAAAGTATTAAGGTAACATTCTCAAAAACTGAATGTTTTACAAAATATTTTATATCTTATGTCAAAATACTGTAATTTACAAGCCTCATAACTCGAAAAGTACTTAATGAAAAATAACTTTATTTTAGTGTTTTGGAAAGCTCTTGACACCAGCTGTTAGATTTTGGAATAAAAAATAGGGTAATCTATTTCAATAAACAAAGTTGACCTCCATATGATCTTGGCATGTACACCCTAGGTTAAACCAATGTCATCATCGGATGTCCCCCTCCAAACCCAACAATTTTGGTCTAAATCATTTTTCTTGAAAATGTCTCTCTGAAAAGTTATTCACGTGGGGTTTTTAAAATGGGACACCCTGTATATCCTAAGTGTTTAATTTTGGCTACGCGTCTGGCGACAAATTCTTTAATTTCGTTTTCATGAATGTTTATCCTTGGCTTAGGAACAACAAATGCTTTCGGAATTTCGCCATATTTGTCATGAGATACATCAATAACCACTATGTCCAATATCTTATTGTAATCACGAATTACTTTTTCCAATTCGGTGGATGTAACTTGAAATCCTTCTACTTTTATCATTTTTATTAATCGCCCGGTCACGTACAGAAGACCTGTATTTTATAATAATTTTTTCACAACAATCTCAAAATAATTATTGCATCATATTCTTTGAAAATTTCACATAAAATTATCAGGAGCGCAAAGAGCTAGAATAAAAACTTGAGATACGCAACACATAAATTATTGCAGGGTCAGCGGATAAAGATAAAAAAAATTTTTATTGTAATAAGTTAATGTCATCGGTATTTGTACCGATTCAAAGATAATGAGATGGAAGAGTCAGAAATAAATGAAACATCGTATTCGAAAGTTAAAATATTAGTGACATTAACTTTTGAACACACACAAGATGTTTTATTTATTTCTGGCTCTTTCGTCTCATTACCTTGGGATCGGCACGAACACCGTTGACATTAACTTATTACAATAAAAACTTTTTTTATCTTTATTCGCTGATCCTGCAATAATTTATGCGTTGCGTATCTCAAGTTTTAATATACTTTGATTTATTTTTAAAATGATTGCGTACGATATTTATTTATTATTTATTATGGTATACCGAAGAAGGTCTAATGTTAGGTTACTTTTGAATACTTTTGATTGTATCTATAACTAAAATAATGTTAGAGTAAAGAGATATTAGAAAAACCGCAATGAATGATTGCGATAGTTATAGTCTGAACACTAACAAGTAAACCTACCTTTGTGTTACTCGCCGATTTTATTGAAACTCGGTACACTTGTAGAGCGGTCAAAAATAATAGACACGTATTTTTTTATATCGGCAATGGTGCAACTTTAAGAGTGAAAACTATCCCTAAAAGAAGTCAAAAATTATCGTTTCTTTTAACATTATCTTGATAAATATTGATGTAGAAATGTTTCAAATAAAAGTTGTAGCTCTTGAAAAAATACATTATTTATGTCCTATGCATTTTTTGCATAGAATCAATATTTTTCGAAAAAAATAAGATATAAAAAAATACGTGTTTATTATTTTTGACCGCTCTACAAGTGTATTGAGTTTCAATAAAATCGACGAGTAACACAAAGGTAGGTTGTACTTGTTTATTTGTAAGAATAATTTAGCATTATTTATATTTTTTATGTTTTTAAAACATTAGAAAATTAGATAATATTAATTATTATGAATATTTATTATAGGTTTGTATTTTTAAAAGAATTGTATTTCAAACGTGGCTATAAAATTTCTTTTTGTATAAAAAAATACAAGTCATATTTTATATTATTTTATATATAAGTGTATAAAGACTTATATATATGGTAAATACAAAACTTTTTAAAAATAATTATAATTTAATCTATATATAAGAAAACAATTACATCGAATTACCGTAATTGTATCGTTGGTCAAATTTATGGTTATCAAAGAACTTTTATTATAAATACTTCATTATTAGTACAATTATGGAACTCGGCATTTGCAAAAATATGTTACAACTTTTGAAGATCTTTTCGAAGAATTTTTCCAGACGCGGTTTTCGGAATATTTTCTAGAATTTGTACATATCCCAAGTGTTTAATTTTGGCTACGCGTTTGGCGACAAATTCTTTGATTTCGTTTTCATGGATGTTTATCCCTGGCTTAGGAACAACAAATGCTTTCGGAATTTCGCCATATTTGTCGTGTGGCACACCAATAACCGCTACATCCAATATCTTATCGTAACCGCGAATTACTTCTTCCAGCTCGGTAGGTGTAACTTGATGTCCTTTTACTTTTATCATTTCTTTTAATCGCCCAGTTACATACAGAAGACCTGCATTTTATAATATATAATATTTTTTTACGATATTCCACACAATAATTGCTGCATTAAATTTTTCAAAAATTTTTTTGATGAAATTTGCTATCTTACCGTTTTCTGTGAAATATCCTAGATCACCGGTCTTGTACCAATCTCCATCCATGGTGTCCGCTGTTGCTTTCGGATTCTTATAATATCCTTTCATCACTTGCGGACCTTGTATGTATATTTCACCTATTTCCTTTGGTCCTAAGTTCTTGTTAATATTAGTGTCTTCTTTACCTATAATTTTCATCTTGGTGCTTGGAATCAAGTAACCGCATGATGTTATTGGTGTATCTGAGGTACCAAACGTACATAACGGGGATAGTTCCGTTGCGCCGTATCTACATACAAATTGCAACAAAAAATTCTGATGTTTTTGTACAAACGTTATTATAATCGCTATTCCTTACCCTTGTATAATCGGCACGGTATCACTGACACGGTTTCGAAACTGCAGCAAAGATTCCTCGCCGATAGGCGCAGCTCCTACGACTATCTGTTTTACAGATGCAACGTGCTCTGGCGTGATTCGTTCGTCGTTCGCCATCATTTGTATAATCGGTGGTACAGTATGCAGTACCGTAAATTGATGACTTTCAAGTAATTTTATGAACTTTGATGTAGAGAAGTTCGGCATGCACACTATCTTAGCACCTATTCTATATATGTGTGATATACATTTAATGTTATGTGATAAAATAATAATAATATTTGTTTATATTATTGAATATTATACTTTTGCAAATAATAACGTATTAAATAATAAATGTGAATGTAACATACCGTAAAAAGCAGTACGTGGAAAATATTAGTCCGTAACTGTGATACATTGGTAATATTACTGGTATAATATCTTGATGATATTCAGTTGCCTCTAGTCCGGGGAAGAATACCGGATGTTTGCTTTGCATTATATTTGCAACATAGTTTCTATGACATCAATAATTGAATTATTCACGTTGTAATATTATAGCTATGTTTTTTTGTTTTATTAATATTGTTTGAATTAAATGAAATACGTTAACTATGGATAGATTTGCGCACCTATGTGTTATCTCAACAACTTTTGGTAGTCCAGTCGTACCGCTGGAACAAGGCAAGATTACTGCATCATCGTAATTGACATCAGTTTTCTGACTGATTGAAAACTCTTCGATATTATCATGCATAAGATCATCAAGTTTGATGGTTCCTGAAATCGAGGCAGCACCAGTGCCGTCGTTTACGATAACAATAGGTAGTTTTATCTTCGAATTTTTTTCAATACTCATTTGGACATCGGTGAATTTTGACGGAAATGTGAAAACTGCTTGGGCATCTGCGGTATCCAATAGCTTTGCTATTTCATGCTCTGTGTACGTAGGGTTGATTAGGGTTGTCTTTAAAAGAAGAAAGTTTTTTGCAAGTATTATAAATATCAAACTTGTATATAATAATAAATGTTTTGTATGATACGTAAAAATTATTTTATTAAATTGCACAGTTTATGACGAATGTTTTTTCTTACACGTAAACCGGCTTCATGTGCTGCTAGTAGAATGATAACAAACTCTGGGATATTCGGTAAAACAATGGCAATGGTATCCCCTGGTAGAAGATCGGATTTTCTTAAACCCGTTGCTAATCTACCGCATGCTTTCCTTAACTCCGCATATGTGTATGATCTACCGGTTTCCGAACATACCTGGAATTATGCATTAATTAAATTACTAACGATTTACTGTAAAAGTCTTTTGGGAATTGTCTTCAGCGACGAAACGAGAAAACATTTTTATTCTACATAATATATTTTCTTGTTGAAAAGTATGACAGAGTGACAACTCTGTATGCATATTTAATTTAAAATTTACTTAAAAATTTATTTAGTCTAAAATTTTATTTATTTAGGTTGAGTATTTTCACCTCTTTGTATTACATAAAATTTTTTACGTCGATAATATTATGATATTACATGCAGTGCATGTAATCACTTTACGTACCAGAGCAGTGTGGTTCCACCATTGCCCGACTTTTTCCCAGATAAAATCATGCAAGTAAATATTTTCAAAACCAGTCACATCGGGTAATCCACTACTGACTATATTTTGCGAATCAATTGATGTCTTGATCGTGGTTGTATAATATCGATGCTCCGTGAACTTTTTGCAGTAAATTTTTGATGATGTGTTGACAATGTATTTTCTGATATTCCGGTTTACTATACCGAATATTCGCGTAAAAATCGGCAGTCGTAGTATCGTCATTTTACAAAATGCGTCAGGAATTATTGCATAACTTTTGCACTTGCGCTATGCTAAGATGTGACGAATGGTCGTTAAATTGCAGCACGTTATCAATGTTACTTCTTTATATTATGTTTGTTCAGTGCTGTATTCAATTGCCGTGATACCCAGGAATGAAACTGAGAAGAGAAAAGAGCTTGTTTCTGTTTTATTTTTTATAATGCGTTTTGCGATAAATTCTGAAACATGAAATTTTCTATTTATAATCTCAAAATGCAATTGGTGAAAGTTTGTCTATCTTTACCGATTGCAGTATCTTTGTAAGGAAGAAATTGGAATACATTTGAACATTTTATACATATATTACCGCAATAGTGATTTTTCAGTGCTTTTTGCTTTTATAAATGCATGTAAATAGAGCGATTGAGTGAGAATTTAGTGGATCACAGAGTTACGCTAGTAAAATGTACAGTAAGGTCGTGTAAACGGATTATATGTAGTCGGATATATCTCGTTACGCGTGCCCATAAAATGTAATACACCTTTTTTCCAATTTTCTGCATTGCGTTTAGCAGTCGTGTAATACATTATACGTTATGTGTATTATGTTGTATTTTACGATATTTATGTAATGGGCGATATTTACGAATGTGCAAGGTACCGAAAAATCAGCGGAGAGTAAAAGTAAGCAATTGCACATTTTGACTTGCTGTGGCTAATTTTATTTACGCAAAATAGAAATGTTGATAATGAGTGAAATTTAACACCAAGAAAGAACAGTATAAAAATTTTGTCCATATTAACTGTAAAAAATTAATTTAAAATTAAATTAATTAGTGGACAATTTGATTAATTATAAGAAAAATTATATACAAAAACAAAGGATTTATTTTTGCTTAAATTTACGAGTAAATGTTGATAGATTAGAGATAATTGGTGAAAGTTTTTTTATTACTGAATATAGTGAATATAGAATAACTAATTTTATTTTCTAGTAACAACACTTTGTTTCGAAAGAAAACAGCGAAAACAAAAAATTACAATTACGTCTTTATTAATTCTTAAAGTTCCATAAGTTTCTTTCGATCGAAAATGGAGTACGTTAAACTTGCACGTTATCTAAAAAGAACATAATACGTTATCTTTACCGAGTCTTTCCGTTTCTTCTGGACAAATGTAGTTTTTCGAGACTTTTTCAAGAAATGCAAGATGCGAGGAATCTGGGTTAATATGCTGCTTTCGGTAGCGCATGCAAGTTCGGATATCAAGTCTGCTTAAAAACACAAACTTCCACAAAGCAAGACGAATAGGTAGATTTATTTCAGTCTGGAGGACATTCACGCGCAGCCGTGCAAATGTGCAAATTGTCAAATCGCGTGCCACTTAGCTTTCGCACTCGCGTCCTTTTCGTGAGTGTTACTCTTGGTTCCTTCGTTCAACGAATTGTCACGCTATACTTTCTCGATCTTCATAGTGTTTCAAAATGAATTTTCTTTAAAATAGGCAAATATAATCTTATATATTAAATTTCTTTCCATTGAAACATTACATCACTAAAATTAATATTAATATATTGTAAAATATTTGCGGTTGCATGCATCATGCATCACTGTATTAGCTTACATAAAGTTGTACCATGTGTTGTGCAAAACATATTACGGCATATTAGCATTCTGTTTGTTTGCGCAAGTGATAGCTTCGGTCGGTTGTTGCGGTTTGTATTATTCGAGCGATGTGGCAGCAAGAGTTATTTTTCAAAGAAGATGGCTTTGTTGTTTTCGCCGGGATATTCTGATGAGATGGTTAGGATGTAAAAGAAAAATAAAATATATTCAAATTAACACATGAGGACAACATTGACTGTCAGCTGTCTGCTAATTATATTTAATTATAGATTAAAGAACAATTGAACATTTCTTAGCAGGCGATAAAAAAGTGTGTCAAGCAATACAATCGCAAAGCGATTCTGCAACGATATTCCGTCGAATAATACTTTTTCTATTTTTCTGCTCGTTCGGAATTAATTACGAGCGATTTTCGAGCGCTTAATGGAAGCGTGAGCTTATTTGGAATTTATCCAAGTTACTTTCTACTACGACGTTTTATGCGATGAACTGTAGGTGCCGCGAAGATTGCCAAGAGATGCATTTGCATATTTCGGGATTTTCGATAAAGAAAACAAGGTGCAATCACCAAGATATCACACAATGTCTAAACATTGTCGTAAAGATGTTCAGTTATCGATTGTCGATATTTATACATGCAATAATATTGAATTGTTTTGATAAAAGACATCTATATATAAATGGCGTAGAAAAAATTCCGGATTTTTTAAATATTTCGAAAATTCAACATTTTCAAGAAATATGAAAGTTGTAAAATTTCAAGATCACATATACACTGACACACACATACATATATATATTTATATATGTATAATATGTACAAACAACATAACATGCAGACATAAAACCACCAGAATAAATTTCCACCAGCAATCGATAAAGATTTTTGATCGATGACTTATGTTTCATTATTAATTTGCAATTGTCTTACAGTAAAATGACCTCTATAATATTAATGTTACTTTACATGACAAAACAAGACGTAATGTATAATGCATGTACATACGATAAGCGTGACGATTTTTTATACATGCAATGAAATGAACGTTAAATGAATGCTAAGAAGTTTCGAAGTTCAGAATTTATCTTATCGGGTACGAGTATGATATGATAATTGTGTATTTCTGTGCATTCACAATTTCCCAAGCAGCTGGCAGTATATGCACTTCGTCGATGACAAAGCAGGTCGACGAAAATGCAGTATTTGCATTTGAAATGAACCTCGTGAAGGAGGCGAATCAAAGTTTTCCTGTTCGGTGTGTATGTTCGTGCGAGATATGCGACCCGTGGGGAATTCTTTAAAATTTAATTTACGCGTAATTGCGTACGAGTAGACGTGCAATGAATGATAATTGTCTAATCTCGTTAATGTCATATTATTTTATTTCAAAAGACGAGAGCTGTTTAACTGTTTAAAAGACGTTGCAAAAAGACGACGCAGCAATAATCTAATTTTTGATGAATTTTATAAATAGTAAGAAGATTAAACCATAATCAAATTTTCGTGTTCTATCCTCTGATATTTTTGTCGTCTTATTGTTTTGCTGTTTATATTTTCATAACTACGTGACAATGCGATTGATATTAATTTTTTACTCACTTTTTTACGTGGTACACAACAATTATGTTTTAATTTCGACAAACCAAACTTTTAACATGCTATATTTAAGTTAAAAGTGTATTACGCTTTGAGCTCCTGAAATGAACGTAGAGATTTGGTGTATTTTACAAAATTGTACTTACAACAGTCCGTTCTAATCCACGGTTGCCACGAGATTGCGAAAATCATAACTTGTAACTGGTTATGTATACTTTTTTAGATAAGAAATGCTTTTAATTATAACACAGGGTAGATAAAGAAAGATAGAGAAATGTTATTTAAGCGAGGTCATTGCATTTATTTAGTTTAGTATTTATTATAATTTACTATTATAATCACTATGATAATCTGTATTAAAAAGTTAGACTTATACAGTCATGTTTCATTTTTTTTCTTTTGTCATTAGATGCATATTTCGTGTTGCATCTGCAAATTATGAATTACAATATACTTCATGTACGAATTTAATTATATAATACAATATATTATAGTGTAAAATATAAAGATAAATCATATTTATCGATGATAAAATATCTCCACTTTAAAAGTATAAAAGATATTTTAGTTATAGCCTAATTTATATTTTAGTTATATTTAGTTATTTGTCATTATTTATTTTAAAAGATATTTTATTATCGATAAATATGATTACGGATAAACTAAACAAATTAAGATACTGTGTAAATATTTGATGTCTATTTTTAATATTTATGAAAAATTCTTCGAGTATTGGTTTCCTACACTAGCTTATATAATATTAAATTCTGGAAAAGCATATACAGTAAACCCTCGGTTTAATGAACCTCGATATAACGGATTTCGGATTTAACGGACACTTTAACCGCCGCATTGTTCGCATTTCTTATCGCGTTTGTTTTGACTAGCGTATAATAGACTCGCTTTGTTTCGCTTAGTTTGCCACAAGTTATCGTGCATTAATCTCACACAGAGTGTTTCTGTGATTTTTATATTTTTATTTTATTTATTAAATAATTTCGCATTCTTCTTCTTTTCTACATCAGAGAGCAAACAACTAAAGCAAAGCTGGATGTTTTCTTTTAGTAAACTTTACCGACTTGTTCTTTTTATTATAAGTTAATAAATTTATATTTTATATTAAAGCTATTTTTGTATTAAAATATTTGAATTTAAATTTAAAAAGAGTAAAAAAGATGCTAAAAAATATCCTTTCCTTGATAACATTCGATTTAACAGACATTTTCGGCATTAACGGGCGCTTATTCACCCCTATTAGTCCGTTAAATTGAGGGTTTATTGTATAAAGCTCACAGATTTATTTTAAAGAATTTTCTTATTTGAGAAATATTCGAGAAAATGTATGGGAAGGGAAAAGAATATATGTGAAGATTCGACAATCTTTTTTTACTATGTTTTATAGGTATCTGTTTTTCCGCTGAGACAGTGAACAAATTCTGATTGTAAGTGCATCGTAAATTCACCAAGTGAATCCACGATTTCCATCTCGGTAAACTACACGGTGTTGATTTTCGTTCGTCAATGTTAATTAATTGTAAATGGATTTCCGGTATTGATCGATTCTTGAATGAAACTAGTGCGGAACAGTTTAAAGGCGGAACTTGTAACGAGTAAAGCAAACTGCAACATTAGCTGAGTTTAATTATTTGTTCTAAATATGTACGTAATTATGCTAACACATACATATTATAATTACAATCAAACTTTAATATATTTCTTCTGCATTTTTGGTTATTTTTTTCTGAATTTTCTCTTCTTGCGTTCTCTTCTATTTCACATTTATGTCATTACATGATTACGTGATAAAGCTAATAAAAAGCAAAAATATGTCTTGCAATGACATTCTATTGATTTATTATTATAAGGATCTTGCCTTTTTGTATCTGATGTTATTTGTTAATATTAAAATTTTTTACACAGTTTTTTTCTTGTTTTTCTGTTCTGCAATATCACGTGGTAAAGCAAATGTGAAGTAATGGAAGGGCAACGCAACAGATAAAATGAGAAAAATATATTTAAAAAATGAGAAGAAAGATACAAAAATTTATCTAGTCGTGTGATAAGAAATCGCTACATGACAAGAACTTACTACTGATATTACACTAACTGCGATAATCGTGTTGACTATAGCAATATCGGTTCTTCGTCATTGGCAAAAGTTCTTCACCTTATGTTCCGCTTCCTAGCCAAGTTTCCTCGTTCAGTTAATCGTCTATTCATCCCTCTACCATGTGGTGATCTATAGCTAATAATGAACATTCAATGATTCAATTACAATATAGTTTTTATCTTTGGCAAGTTAAGATGTCTGTTAAAATGTTAAGATTTTAATTTGATCAAATTTCAACCAAGCTTGAATTATTAAACAATTTACCAACAACGTTGCATTTTATAAATGACATTTCTCAATAGTAGCCACTCTTGCAGCCATCCTTGAATCAAAATTTCTATTTACTAGCAATTTTTATTGGAAAATAACAAATAAATATTGATTGACGAGAGCAATTTGTTTATTGTCTAACCAGTTTATTGTCTAAAGAAACCGATAGAAACGAGGTTGCCAATGAGGTGGCGCCCTCCCTTTGACGCCTTCGATCGTGACTCTGTTATCCTTGTCGAATCGATGATCCTTCTTTATCTACCATGTAACTTCTTCGTGTCTTAGAGACATTATCACAATGTTCATGGATTACGAACAGGCTATTTTAGTTTCTAATTCCATATTTAGATATTTAGAAATGTAGTATATATGAATTTTAGAAAAATTAGTATATGACATAATTGCATATTTATACGTACACGATGGAGATATCAAAATTCTATATAATTTCAGTGAATTTGATAAATTTTCAACAGTATACGCTAGAATATAGCTTATGTCAAACATTATGTTTCTATTGTTATGAATATAAGTAATATTTAAATTCATATTTATTAAATATAAAGATTATTTTTTCATTTTGGAATATCTATATTGTACTAATAATTTTTACGTTGTTATTGATTTATATTATTTTTCACGCAAGATTGATCTCAAGCTGCACAAGTGAGCAGAATTTGCGACTTGACATTAGAATACTAGAAAGTTGAAAGTAGAGAATGTAGACAATTTTTCGAAAGCTTTTCTTTCAAAAATCTTTTCAAATCCACGTCGTCTCGAGATGAATTCTCGGAGAGAAAACGATGTAACTTTGTTCTTTACTCGTCTTTTGTTTGTGTTCTTTTTTTGAATCTGTTCAAAACATTGTTGACTTAGATAACAACGCTCGTTTTTCTCAGAGACGCCTCTAATGAAAGCGAATACTTGAATTGCACATTTATCGTTTCGAAAATGCTCTCCTTGTTTTGTTATCGATATTTTCATTTGTGTTTTTTATGATTCTGTGAGATATACAGGATTTAGAAATTACTTTATATTGAGACCGATAACATTATTTTACGATTTGCTTTATTATCTTTCAAGCTATTTTGAAGTTTCAGTAAAAATTTAAATTTAAACGTATTATTTTATCGTTGTAAATTTAAAAGGTAGTAGCATGTTATAATATTGTTTTATATATAACATAAATGTGAGTTTTTTGTATTGTATTATATTGTGCGATACTGGTGCATGACATAAAAAATTTTCAATGTTTATTATTTCTTGTACAATTATATATCTTTATTATTCTTATATAATTTTACATCTTTTGTACACAAAGTAATATTTGCCAAATCAAACATTGGCTTTGATATAATTTATGATGTCTAATTATATAGCTTTACTTATTATGGATGCTTAAATATTTAGCTTAATATGATGGAGCTTCAAAATTGATGGAAGATTTACACGAGTAAACAATAAAATTTGTTTGGCGTTGAAAAGCTATCCTTGTCTTCCGACATACGTTTCCATTGACCCAGACAGTGGAGCGCCCTTTCCATTTTCCATTTTCCTCCTTCTTGTACGTGCATCGTCAGTCTTTCTCGCTCTCTGCCTGACGCAGTTTCATGTTCTATTCCTTTCTTGCGCTGTATCTCGTGGCGATGCATTTGGTCCACAATCCTCCATTATCCTAATAAATATATGGTGGCAGATGCATCGCGATACTAATGACATTTTTTTAATGATGATGCACTATACCTCTATACATTGAGATAATTAGCTTATTAGAGAAATACATTTTTGTAAAGTTAGCATTTTCCCAGAATTTCAATACACTTAATATAGAATTGTGGCTTTTTTTCAAAGAGTCCTTCTCCAAAGAGAATTTTTCTGATGAAAAAGAACTCTGGCGATTAAATGTAAAATATACGAGTCAAAATTGTCAACTTTATTTTCGTTATGTGAAAATTGATAAATTTTTACTTTGAAAATAGAATCATTTTGAATTGCGATACTTTTTGATTGTTTCTATTATTTATTATGTAACGATAACAGTTTTACTCTTTCAACATTGTAGTCAAAATGAATGAGTCTGATGTTCCGATATTTAATATAAAACAATTGTTAATCGAGATAACTTCGACAATTAAAAGGGTCTTCCGTAGAAAAGCATTCTGCATAAAATGCGATGGACTCGCGCCAAATTTCGCCGCGATAATAACTCGCAATAGAATGAAAGATTGTAATGGCGTAATAGAATTGTGTATAAAATTTGGCAAACTGTTAAATCGTAAAAAATATTATTTTGCATAAAAGTTTAATGAGCGTTGTAAATTGCGATTCCGTCGATGTCAGATGGCAGAATTCCTTCGCGAAGATCAACATAAAGAGATTACACGTATTGCAAAAGAGTTGTTAATATCCTTGGCGCAGTGCTCGAAATCACATCGAGATAAGCATCGCTTTGTCCGCGGTTCGTCACAGTCCGCCGCAGTCCTTCGCCGAATCCGGGCTTGCGAAAATTACGAGTTTCGTGTCGCGCGTTTATGTGTCAACGGGTCACGTGTGTTCCCTTGACAGTGAAAGGGTTATATCGGGTGTGGAAATTACAAGCGGCTATCATCGGATCTGATATTCGGTACTTACATTGGCCGGCTCTCTCGGTCAGTGTAAGCCGGTCAGCGGTTGGTTTGTCATCAGATTACCACAAGCAAACCCGGGCCGAATCAACCCGACCTCGGCGCTGATCGGGCCCGTCTCTCTCTCCCTGGCGTCGTCTCTCCCTCGGCGTCGGCCAGCCGAGGAAGAGACGGCGCGTCGCGGCGGGCTACGGCTGGAGAAAAAGGGTGAGACAGCGGGGGTTTGTGCGCGCTGCGACGCGCCGCCGTACGAACGGGGAGGGGGGCATGGTGTTTCTTCTTTCGGGGGTAGTCAGCGCCGCCACGGCACCACGCAGGGTGAGTCTCAGTCGTCACTCGGTCACCCCGCCGAACGGGTGGGTTCGAGGAGTCGATCTCTGTTCGCGCTCGTTCTCTCGCGCGTTAACCGCACGCGAATTTCGGGGGGTTTTTCCCGCTTTTCTCTGGCTGGCCTTCGCGGAGTGGGGCTCGCGCGTCTTCGACCCGCGGGTTTGCGACGCCGCGTCACCGTATTCCCGGTCACGTCAGCGGGATCCGCGGGTATCGGGTGCGATCTGTGCAATTCCGTGTGTGCGGAAACGTGGTGCCGCAACCGGTCAGCGCGCGTGCACCATACGACGATCGATCGACTCGGGATACGATACGATCCAGGGAGGCGATGGACGGAACCACCCTCCTACGGGACAGCAGATAAGGAGTCCGAGGACAAAGGACAACAACGCACACACGCTATCGGTACGCGATCGCGCACGGCGAGATCGGATCGCTTCGTTCCGAACGCTCCGATTTGTGCCCTGATGCGCCGGCTTGACACTGCGAGGCTTTATCGAGGAGCGAGTATATAGCGGTCGCGCCGCGTGGTGTGACCTAGCCCGGAACGATCGTTCTTGCTCGGTCTTTGGCTGCCGCGTGACGCTCAAAAATTTATCGCGTCCCTTGCGATCTCGGAGGAGATAAAAGTAAACGATCATCGAAATTTGTGGTCCATTAAACGTTCTCAGTCACGAAATACGCGACCCGACGATCTTTCATGACGCGATGTTTTTATCAGGGATATGTATATTGGAGAACTGGAGGAGCGACAAGGACGAAAAGACAGATGAATCCTTAATGACGATCTCGGGAGGCGACAGAGATGCTGTAGTGTGCGCGAAGGATCTATAAGCTCCCTAGTTCGCGCGTTTCTCTGCTCGCAAGTGAACCGTGTCAGATTGTATCGTGAGAGAAAAATCGTAAAATAATGATATTAACATGCTATCTAATCATGCATCTTATTCATGAGAACATGAGAAGTTTCTAATCAAGAGACGAGATATATTCGTTATCGGGAAAGAATTCACATAAAATTTACAAATTGTTTCAATCGAATTTTCATAAATTAGTAATAATACTGATGTAATGACAAAGTATATAGATCTAGCATAAAATTCTCTCTCGCAATAATGGGGATAATGGCGCGATGAATCGAAGCATCGTTAATCATTCGATGATCATGACTCTTGCTTAATCGAGGCTTAATGATCGTACCATGTGCTATTCGCGATCGATGAACCTGAGTATCGTCGCGCTGCATTACACATATCACCAGGGGGTCGATTGTGTATTTCAAAACCTAGTGAAAATAACAAAAGTGAACATTCACTTGATTATGTAAATTTCACTATAGTGAAAATGCGAATTATTTCACGTGAGATTATTCGACAAGTATTTAGATGTCGAATTCAGTCAAATTGTGTCGAATTTGCATCGTATTGTGCAGTCTCACGGAGCCAGCGTATAAAAAATGGATTTGGTTATGTTGCTGATGATAGAAGAAAATGAGAGAGATAGGAATAAAAGGCAGCAAAGAAATTTAAATATAATAAGGAGAAGATTGAGGGATACACAAGATCCATTTGATATCTCGGATAATACATTTCTCAAATTGTACAGGTATATAGATACAAATAAATTATATTTTATTTTTGATTTAGAATTAGACAATATAAAAAAATATTATGAACAAAATAAATATTAAATATTTTAGAGAAATAAAAAAATTGGTATATATAGATATCAAACGTAACGCACAATGGATATAAATTCATATGACATATTTATATTTTATATCTTATTTGTATCTACATTATCCGTCCAAAATCGGGGTGTTGTTGCATGAAACGGATCATTAAGTCTTTGTTTCTCAGTAACGTTCATTATTTTCAAATTATAATGAATTATAATGATAAAAATAATATTGGAACACAGCCGATTGTACTTGGTTATATATGATAATACAATATGATATACAAACATTCGACTATTGCTCGCACTCACATCTCACATCTGTGATTTTCACTCTCGTGAGCCTAGGGATATCGCATTTTCACTACGCTTATAGCCAATCGCGCGTATTTTTTCATGTGAGATGAAAATACGAGAGGCGAGGAAAGTCGACAAAGATACACAATCGACCCCCAGGAGCGAAAATGACTAGTGCGGAATAACGAGCAACTAGTAATTGGACGAGAAAAGCAGGGCTTGTGAATTGGAGATCTTCTTCTCGCCGCGTTTCTCTCGCGTAATTTTTTCTTGAAAAGAAATTGCGAGAATAGCGGTCGCACGTTGATGCGATTACAGGGGATGTTTTTTCATTCAACTCTTGCTTCTTCGACCTTGTGTATTCACAACACATTTAAACGGTTCAATGCGTTGAATTATGGGAGCTTTCATTCAAGTCGTTGGGTCTTCCAGAAATGATAAAGGCAGGGAGCATCGAGTTTTGTCATAAGCGTTGACGATTGGACTATCTTTGTTTTATCTCGTGGAAACTGACGGCATCGCGCGGGTGCGGCGAAGTACAAAATTACAGTGCAGTTCGTATGAAACTGCACGTTTTACGAATTATTTTTATCTCTCTTGTCTCGGTTAAAGCTGTGTCCAAAATAAAGTGATAGTCCGCGAATATTCGTGCACTTCGAGCAATTATCTTTTTATTTTGTTTGTTGTTAAATACAATTTTGTGATTGCATGTTTGCTGGTGAAAGTCAAATAAATTAACGCCTATAATTTACAGTAATAATAAAGGTTCTATTTGTGTGCGTTAATTGATTCGGCTTGGTGGCATTTCATGCTCGAAAATTGTTATAAAATTGCTATGTCGCGATATAACTGACAATTGCTACGTGACGCGTTTGTAATGTTAATTGGATTTTGGTGCAGTAATTAGTTGATATTTACAGTATCCTCCAAATGTACGTTCGTGGCGAAAATGATGACGATATTCTCATTAGCAGCATATGTGTATACTGTCGCGGCGAGCCGTAATGACATTCTTGCGTTTCCTTGCTTATCAAGTATGACTGCTCGGAAGGGATCGGGACGCATCATAGTCGATTACGCCTGAATGGGAAGTCTCTCAATCCTGCTCTCAAGAAGGCTAAGATGCGGAAGTCGAAGGTATCCGCCAAGTTTCATCAATTAAGGCTAGTAGGTTGAGCTCCGGGTGGTTTAACATTTTCGTCGATCAGCGATACCTTGTAATTCATTGAGTGTTACAAGTACAAGATGTCGTTAACACACCAGTAATCTATCACGTGGTATCGTCCAGTGTGCACGGAGCTTCTGTGTGAGTTAGCAACTTTAATACACGTTTGAACGCAGTGGAATGAATTTTTTATCGAAAAGGCGAGAAGCAGAAGGTTGTGTCTCGCAAATGTGTCGCAGACACGTGTAATGTGATGAACGTGGAAAGTACTTTGTCGTACACGCGAAGAGGAAATAGCGCAGAGTTTTTGAAACATATACAGTAATAGACTCGTGCCTAAAGAATGGTCAGGACAATTTCAACTTCATACGGGAAAAGCATAAAGTATCCAATAATATCTTTGTTCGTTCGTTATGCTTCGGCGGCGTACTGGCTGCATTCGACAAAGTGCTTCCGATCGTTTTCCTTATTTCCCTTTTTGTATATCGATCATGATAAGTCGGCGAAAAGAGTGCAATGAATCGCTCGACCGCATTCGAATGCAGGCGGATGGTGACATGAGTAACATCCCGTTGCAACCCCTTAAATAAGAAATTAAGAAAACTTGCGGTTCGATTGACTCTACGTAAAACCAGTGACCCGTGTGTGTGTGTGTGTGTGTGAATCTGTGCTGACTCGTGAAAATATAAGTTCTGTTTGGTGCCGGTCTCCTTGATAAATGAGTTGTCGATTATAGTACTTACTTCTTCGGTATCGTGACAGGTTGCATACTTGAATTAGAGCCGGTAAACGTAAATTTTTTTTAGAAAATAATTTTAAAGATTTTATTCACGTAATTTAAAACGAGTGTATTAGGTGCAGCGAAAAAAGTTTTTTTTTTAATAAATTTGTCTCTTAAATTTAAAGAAGTAATGTCTTTGTGCAGATTGATAAAACGCGAAAATATTTCTAATTTAACAATTATTTTTGTAATTATTTCTTATAATTAATCATTTTTTTATTACTAAATTAATTTAAAATATTTTTTTACTTTTTGTTGCTAGTAGTCCTTATACGTTGTTGCTAGTCTATAATTTCAATGCTAAATAAGAATTATCACAGAATAACATTTACATTTACATTTATGTAAAGTTGCAAATAATTCGCAGTAAACTACTTATACTTGTCAATTTTTATAATTGAGTTTATTGTAAAATTTTTATTCGCAAAGGTCTCGTGGAAGCAGAAGATTTGATCTGACTGATTAAAACAGAAAATAAATGAACCGCCCGAACTTTCATTCAGTTCCGTCGATCGATCAAACGTGGAAAATCCTCACAAGCTCTTCCGCTCGACGTTTTCGTTTGCCCTTTACTATCACGCTAGTCGTTTTTTTTTTTTTTTTTTTGTTACAAAGAAATATTTCCAATTTTATCTTTCGTTTATCGTCCGTCCATCATACACTATTGATTCGATTTCATAAGTTCGTCAACATGTATAGCATATTCACAGCTTGAATTCAGCAGTTTTCTTTTTTTCTCTCGTTATCGATATAATTTTTCCCGTCGAAATTTTGAGCCTCTTCTGTCTTTATCACTTATGTATATCGTGAACTAAACTTTAATCTGTGAACACAATTTTACATTACGTTTTGTCTGTAGATATATCGGATTAATGTGACATATAATATATAATGTCGTGCAGATAATCTTCATAATTTTACTTACGCTTACGTGTGTCATTCTCTTTTCTAAATTATATTGTAAATTTCGTATGCATTGCCATTTGTAACGCTCTTTTCTTCCGAGCGTAAAAATCTTGAAAATCCTTTTACGAAATGTATTTCTTGCCTTGAGTCATCGTGTAACATTTCGCCAATTCGTCTTGGGATATCGATCGGATGCCAAAAACTTCCTGCTGTGAGTTTCCTCTTTGGCACTCCTTCTCACCGAATATTCTCTTTACAAGCATAGTTATGTAAAAAGCTTCCCTTCGCCGCTGACGGCTCAAGATACTTTCAAGAGAAAATATATGGATACTGAATATTTTTTCTAATTTTTTACACAATAATTTTACACGAAATTTAAAATTATTAAAGTATAAATAATTAGAGAAAATATATGGATACTGAATATTTTTTCTAATTTTTTACACAATAATTTTACACGAAATTTAAAATTATTAAAGTATAAATAATTTATTAGCGAGCATGTGATATTTATTTTGGATATTACGCGAAATGTAAGATTCCTTTAAATTTCTTCTTTCCTTTAAACTTTCCTTTAAATTA